CCCTACCTGTACCCTGACTGCCCAAACCTTATCACCCCCCTCGAAAGCCCCCCCGAACTCGACCCCCCCCCCCGCTCCCTGTCTCTTGACTGCCCACTCCAGAACCTCCCTGCTGCTTCTCTGACCCCCTGGCCCCCTTACTCTGCCGCTCGGACCAGTGTGCCGGGGAGGAGGAGCAGGGGGAGGAGCTCCAGACTGCCGGTGCGAACGGCCGGCTGGTGATCTGCGAATGCAGGCAGGGAGGGAGTGCTCTCAGCTGCAGGGGAGTGGAGGGGGAAGTGAAGGAGGGGCTCTCTCTGGCTGTCGGAGCCCCATGTAAATGGCACCATCCGGCCGGCTGCCCTGTTAGCCGCACGCGCTCTGCAGTGGGGGGGGGGGGAAGTCCGGACATTTACAAATTCCCCTAAAAGCCGGACATGTCCGGGGGAATCCGGACGAATGGTAACCCTATTCTAGTTGTTTCATATGGACATTTTTATGGTTCTGTTTAGGCATTTGTTTTGTCCATTAAAAATCGCTTAGTGAAAAATTAGGTCTATTTTGAGCACTGCAATTTAAAGCAACAATTTATTAATCATGCTGTATGTGGGTTCTCCATCTGTTCCTTGTAAATAACAGCTGTTTCTGACAAGTACAAAAATGAAACTGCATTATTTTAATTAAGATATAGTGGGACAACAGCATTGTTGAAGAAGCCTTGTGCAAATCACAGGCAATTAATAAATTATATGGGTCGTTCACAGGGAGAAACTGCATACATTGGTATGGTTTGTTACACATTATGATGGTGCAAAATATTAACTTTAATACACATAATATTGAAATTAAAGTTTTTACATGCAGCAAGAAAAAATAATACTATGAAAAAATGTGCAAGACTATGTACTGTGCATTGTTGGGAGACAATGAGGTGTAGCAAACAGCCCAGTGAACTGGGAGTCAGAACAGCTCAGTTTCATTCTCAGTTCAAGAGATTGTTTTTTCCTTGGAGGGTTTGTCTACCTGGCCCCATAGTGCACACTACAGACATGTGAATTGCAGCATGCACCAAAGGGTTCAGGTTAACATAATCCTATTTGAAACAGAACTACATTAATTCAAACTAGGTACCTTCTAGTTTGTGCTAGCAGGGTCTGCACCAGGCAGTTAGAGTATAACATTCAGTGTGCACTGCAGTCCCCATCCCTGTAGTGTGCACTGTGAAGCCAGGTGGACAAGCTCTAAGTTTTATATTTCTAGTTAGTTTCACTACTCTCTAGTTCTCCTGTGCTTTCACGTGGATGCATTATCTGGGTTGCAAGGAAATATTTTAATTTCCGTTAACATTTACATCAATAGTCACATCCAGGTTTACAGTGGATTTCAAATCTCAGTAAGATTCAGGGTTATTTCGATTCAGTCCATTACAGAAATTCCCTAAGTCAAGCAGTTCTGATGAGTGTTATTGTTCAGGTTTGAAATCATGTTCTCTACCCTTGTTCCCCTGTGTCTTCCTAAGAAGTGCAAAGGTTTTCATTTTGAAGGTTCCTATTCAGGCCCATCACTAATTTTAATAATACAATACCTAAATCTGGAGCATAAATTACCTGAGAGTGTTCTTTTAACCTACTAACTAGAAGCAGGTTGAAAGCTCAATGACCCAATACTTTGGCTTTCATTCTAATACAGCATAGGCTTGATCCAAAGTCCATTTGAAGTCAATGAAAAGACCAAGGCTATGGCTACACTAGAGAGACTACAGCTGCACTGATGCAGCTGCGCCGCTGTAAG